AAGGATTGTCAGGCAGCATAAAAAGACCTGCTGAGGTTGGACACCATGAGTCCGGAGTGCCTACTGTCCACAGAGTTGTAATATTTTTTCCTGTGGAGAAGACAGATGGTTCACATACCCTGGGGTTCACTCATTTATTCAACAAATATTTACAAGTGTCTACTAAGTGCCAGACAGTGTTCTAGGCTCTGGGATACAGCAGTGAACAAAATAAACAGAGTCCTTGCCCTCATGGAGCTTGCATACTAGTAAGAGAGTATGGACAAAAACAAACAAGTAGACATATAATATAATATCAGGTCCATGCTGTGAAGATAGGAAGGTAAAGAATGACAGCAGTGCTGTTTAAATAATGAGATCAGGGAAAGCCTCTCTGCAAAGGTGACATTTGAATGGAGGTCTGAATAAAGTAGAGTAAGCCATGTTGATATCTGAAAAAAGAACACTCTTATTAGTGGGAACAGTATGTGCAAAGGCCCTGGGGTGGGAGCATGCTCTACTTGAGGATGGAGATTGGCAGGATGGATATAGTGGAAGGAAAAGAGACAGGAGAATTAAATGTGTTAATACAAGGAAAGCTGGAGTGATGGGTTATATCATTTGGACCAAATAGGGAGTGAGTGAGACCAGGGGATGCTGATAAATGGACAGCAAGAGCATTGGGCAAGTGACAGGAAGTTTCAGTAAGGTCAAAAAGCAGGTGTAATAGTGAGGAAGAGAGGACTCTGGCCAGAAAGGTAAGAGGATGTGGCCAGAAAATGAGGGGCTTGGGTTCAGGATAGCAAAGGATGGTGATCCCAAGCAATGGCAGGGCCCAGGATGCTGCTTTTGGGGTGGGAGGCTGAAGAGGAGTGAGAAAAAAAGGGCTAAGTGATATTTGAGGTGAGACTTGAAGAAGAAGGGGTTCACAGGGCAGCAGAGGAAGGATGGGCCTTCCAGGTGAGTATGAGGGGCAGAGTGGTTGGAGTGGACATGGCAAGGAGAGAGGCAGAAGCTGACAGAAAAGTAAGGTATCAGACTAGTGAAGAAGACAGGTGGTTGGCAGAGTGCCTGAGGACCACCAAATGGAGGCTCGAGTGGAATCCACTGGAACCGTACAGAGCCACAGTGGTGCTCTGGCCACATATCTCAAGGTAGCGCAAGGCCTCTGAGGGGGCCGCGCAGGTTTGCGATGTGACTGACTGGGCTGAGCACCCAGCCAGGGCTCAAAATCTCTCATCTGTGCCCATAGGACAGAACCAGGTTAACTGGCTCACTGCAGGGCTCCAGACAGGCCTACCGCACCTTGCTAATAAAGTACCTGGACCATGTTCACCACCTTATTCCATGAGGAGGAGGAGGAGCCACAGGCTGCTGGAAGCTGCTGGAAGAGAGCCACCCACTGCATCCACCAATCACAGCAAAGTCCAGCCCTCACCCTGAGGGGACAAACCCCCTTCCTGCAGTCTGGCTGGCTGGGCAGTGAGGTCCTGCATCACATCACAATGAAGACCAGCTTCTATGAATGGACCATCCCCCCCACCTGAACCCACCCCTACTCTTGTGCATACGTGCATACATGACCCAGGCAGGGCTGTTTTTTTGCCAAAGGGGGGCAGATATGATAGAAGGGGCACTCAACAGCACCATGCAACCTCCTGGAAGCTAGGCAGTTGTCCCCGTCCAGGTCATTCCTTTCAGATTAACAATGGTTAAACACTGTTGGGGTTTAGCATCAATTCACCAAATTTGTATTGAGCTGCTCTTTGCTGGGCTCTGTCCTTTACAGAAAGCAAAGACTTAATGCAAATCTTTTAAAATGGAAGCTCAAACAAAATGTGACAGGAGCCCCCACAGTGGAAGATGAATTTGAGGTGGATGTCAGGGCTCAGTGGTTGAGGTGACTTTTGAACTAGACTCTGAGGGATGGAGTAAATTTGGCCAAGAAGAGATGGGTGATGGACATATTAGGGAGGTCGGCCTTGACCACTGAACTGGAGAGATTGAATTCTATCTTTAGGGTAGTGGGAGCCATGGAGGAACTTCCAATGGTGGCAGGAGTGAGGCCTACTGGAAGGAACAGGGGCTTGGAAGGACCCCCCAGACTGCTGTTTGAGTCCTAGCTCTGCCACTGATCAGCCAGGACCTGGGCCAAGCCACTGTTCTCCTCCAGCCTGTCTCCTCTTCTGCAGGTGAGGACCCCAGCTATCTCCCACCACAGCAGCAAACCTGATAGAAGGGCAGAAAGGGGCTTTCGAAGTGGCAGGCATGTGCTATGCCCGCATAGCCGAGGATGTCCAGGCGCTCAGCCTCTGAGGTCACATTAGCAGTTAGATCCGAAGTCCCCTTCCCACCTGTATGACTGCAGGACTTTAAGCTCCCTTTCAAGGTTTCACCCTCATTATCTTGAGACATCCCCAGCGTGGTGTTTCACAATGCTGAGAGCCCCTGGGGCTCTCTGACTTTCCTGCTGCCACAGGCTGACCCAGCCCAGTGGCCCGCCCATGGCCCCGCCTGCAGTACCAGTACCGTGGCTGCACCTCTCCTGCTGGCACTGAGCCCCTGCCGCTTCCCCAGGTTGCCAGGCTGCTCCCTGCCACTGTGGCCTGGGGCTCTTGCCTCCTTTCTCAGCCCTGCCTTGGGTCCCACTTGTCCAGCGGGTCCCAGGGCAGAGCTGCTGTGGTGGTGGGGCTACAGCTCCTGGCATGCTGGTCGCTTTGCATTCATTTTCTCAGTCCCACACACAAAATGTGTTGTTTTGGTGATCTGGACTGTGCTCAGGATGCCTACTGTCACCCAGCAGAAGAGCACGCAGGTCGGGTAGGTGTATCCTGATGAAGCTAGGGAGGCATTGTGGCCTCAAGAGGGCAGATCCAGGTTGGAAGGCAGGGTGACAAGCCTGGGGTGGGATCCAGGTCCAGAAAAAAAAAGGCATGGACAGGAGGGCCCCTGAAGAAGATGCTCTCCAACTTGAGGATTTGCCCTTTAAGCTAGCCTCAGAGCACAAAGTAAGACAAGCAGGGATGGGCAGCCTGCACAGGCCACAGCCACGTTCTAGTGACCTGTGGCTCTGCCAGGCAACTCTGATACAAGGACTCCTGGCCATTTACCCTCTCCACTCTGAATCGTTCTTTCCGCTTCAGTCCTGTTGCCAGCTTGGGGTCAAGTCCCCCAAACTGATGAGTAAAGATATTGGTTTCAAGATAAGGAGATAAGGGAAGAGCTGAGGGTGAAAGCAGGTGAGGTTATTATCGCCACCAGGGCCAAGACAGGGACCCTGAGGACAGAACCAGGGGGTGGAGTACTGCGTGCGGCCTTGGTAGCCTCCGAGACCATTCCCGGGCAGAGTCCAGAAGATGGGGGAGGGATGTCTGCTCAGGCTATCTGCTTTCGGGATGGGCACTTCAGCCCAGCTGATCTTTGCTTGCTCTCGGATGCCAGGGGCAGACAGAACAAGGTACGATGAGACCGGTTTCAGTTCTGGTTAAGCATTTACAACACATACAGCATTTGCCCCTACGCAGGCCCAGTCTGAGAGCTTCACAAACATTAACCCATTTAGTCCCATCAGACCCCAACTTAATACTCTTATTACTCCATTTCACGGGCAAGAAGTCACTTGCCCAAGACCAGGCAGCTGGCGAGGGGGAGCAGGGATTGAAATCTGGGCAGCCTGGCTCCTAGGCTCACTGCTGAGGGCGGGGCTGCTTGCCTGAGATGCTGTCTCCAGGATGCCTCCCTGTGTGACCCCATCAAGTCTACCTGCTTGCCCTTCAGAATGGCTAACAGAGGGCACAGGGGAGGAGAGGGTCTTTGAGGGGACACTTCCCCAATCCTCTGGTCTCTGGGAATAACTGCGCTCCCAGTCTTGGAATGGGGTGGTGTGGGGCAGCGAAGAGTGGGAGTGGGAGCAGCCCCGGACCACACGGGGTTCTCACAGTCCTTGTTCCCAGTCTGTCCTCTGAGGCTGTGGGCTCTGCCCGCTGCTTTTATTCCTGGAAGTGGAGTTCACTGAACCTCCTCACTCATTTAGCTTCCTCTCCTTCAGGGAGTCCCATGAAGGTCCCTTGCCCTCCTCAAAGTAGTCTATTTTGTTGTATTCAGATGAATTATTTGAAAGCCACCCTAAATTTGTTGTGGATGTAAGCACAGTATAAATACATTAAAAATAAGATCAAAAGAATGGGTGGTTTGCCTTTGGGGTCCTCCAGGCTAGGTGAGCACCTGTCCATGGAGTGTTGTGGTTGTCTCTCCAAAGTATTCCTTTCTGGCGAAGGTTCCAGAGGGCATCTGCTGTGACCTGCCTTGGCCCCACTGCAGCAGTTGCCCCTGACGTGCAGAGTGTGGAGACAAGTTTTCCACTTGTTTCTCCACTTTGCAGTTTCTCCACTCCCCACTCAGCTTCTCCAAATGGCCCAAACTGCAGGGGAGCCAAAGCCCTGTTCTAGAAGCTATGACCGAAAGGGTATGTCCGGTTAACCAAATTTGCCTACTGGGAGCCCCAGAACTTCCCTCCTGGGTCTTCTTTTCTGCCCTGATCCCTTCAAATAGGCCTTTGGGCCTTCATTGCCTTTCAGTTGTGGATGGTGCAAACAGCTAAATGGGACTCCTCCATCTCCACTGCTGTCCCAAGAGAAGAACAGTTTTCCTCTCTGTCAGTGGCTGGTGGCACTTCTACAGAGTGGGCTTTCTTGAGGGGACTCACCCCAGCTCAAGAAAGTAACTCTCCAGATGTAACCAACTTCCCTGAGGGGTATGGTGGGACTTCCCAAACACTAGGCAGAGAGGACACTGGCTTTTTCTTAGACAGGCCAGCTTGGAGGAAGAAGGATAAACATCCATCTCAAAGCAAAAGTGCTGCTATAGCCAGAATTCAGGGTGGGGGAGATAATGGGAAACAGCTTGCTGGGGAGGGAGGGGAACAGAATTCTGGAATGGCTGAGGCTGGCTGCTGAAGAGGGGGTTGGGAAAAGCAGGTTGATTGAGACCAGCTGCTGCTCCTCTGTCTCAGAGATCTTTGGACTCTGCCCGGGGCAGGATCACTCCCTATTACTGGTGATTGGGAGCCAGCAGAGACTGCCGGGGGAGCTTCTCCACCCACCCTGACTCCTAGAGCCCACAGATACAGAAGACCAGAGGGGGACTGTCCGTCCACCAGCCAGACGCCTCCTCCCCATCACCAGCCCCCACCCCTTGGCTGCTCCTGCTCTGGAAAGGCCTGGAGGAAGAGGCCAGGGAGACAGCCCCGCCCATTCTTCCCTGCCCCTCCATCTACCCAGCAGTGGCATCTGGAGACCCCATGGCCCAGGCGCACTGGTGCTGCTGCTCATGGCTTGTCCTCCTCTGTGGTATGTGAATCTTGGCCTTTCCTTCCCATGGGGAAGGGCAAGTCCAGCTAGAGAGCAGCTTTAGCCTCTCCCCTCTGGGCTTGAAAGGGTTGGAGTGAGGGCTGGAGCCTAGGTTGTGTCTTTTCTCTTGGTCTTCCTCTCTGTCTTGAGGATGAGAAACTCCAGGGCCAGCTCGTTCAGGCCCTGAGACTCAGGCCAAGTCTGGTTTGGCACCTTTCCATCCCTACCTGTTAAAAAATGATTCTGGCACTTGTTAAAAGAGTAAGGAAGACTTTATTCAAGACTGCTGCAATAGGGGCATTGCAGTAGGGGAGAGAGAGCAGGCTCAACTCTGAATACAGCAAAGACAGCTGAAAACTTACAGCCAATGTATGGAGTGAGGGGTCAGGGGATGGAAAATTACTAAGAGGAGACACCTAGGGTGGGGGAATTCTTGCAAAGCTGGCTTAACAAGATTTTTGCTGAAGGCAGGCCAGGGTGGCCATATATCAAGGGTGGGGGATTCTCTCTAAACTGACTTAGTAGGATTCTTAAGACTGGGGCCATGCAGGCCCAGCAAGGACAGTATGGACATGGAAGGCCAAAGTCAAGTTCCAGTCAAGAAGAGGACTCAGAGGAGCATCACTAAAGTCTGGTCTGTGTCACCCCTGTGGTGTCCTATTTTTCCTCTTTGGTTGCAGCTAGGTGCCCAGCACAGCACCCTCCATGCCCCCTCTCCAGCTGTAGGGAGGCCTCCCTTCCCTTCCCTCTCTGTCAGCCGAACCCTGCTCATTCATTCAGCACCCAGCCCCTCAGCACCCTCTCAGTGCCAGGCCCTGTGCCAGGGAGCACAGAGTGGTTCGGCTATAGAATCTGCCCTTGGGAGCCACAGCTCTGACTCAGAGAAACATAATATGGGTGTTCAGAGAGCATGGGTTGGCTGACTCTTGCTTCTTGTGTTAGCATCTTAGTGCTACCATTTTGCCAGGTATCTATTCCTACAGAAATGCTGGTTCATTTCCTTAAATCAACAGCATGGGTTCCATCTCCTCCTTAAATTTATGAAACCAAGACTATCAGGCAGGGCATTCATGGTGTTAGATGCCAGCCACCCACTTTCCATCTGTAGCTCAACCCACTTGGAAGGTAAAAGTAGAATGTCTCCCTATACTCAGGACCCACTATCCTTTGGGGAGATGCCCCCTAAAAGGCCAGGAGGCTGGAAGGAAGGACAGATTATCAGAGACCAGTGGACTTTCAGGGCAGAAAGGCCCAGAGCCTGTAGGACTTAGCCCAGTGCCTGGCACTTGGTAGGCACTTAGGACATGTCTGCTCCATGGATACTTTGTGACTCCCCTTGAGTCACACCAAATCTGAGGCAAAGCCCAAACTGGAAACTAAGGCTCAATATACTCTGCCCTTACTTGTGGCACTACTCTTCTATGGTTGGCTTTTTTGTACCCAGATGTCTTGGGTTCAAATCCCTGCTCTACTAGTGACTCACTGGCAAAATTTGGGTGAGTTACTAAATCTATCTGGGCCTTGGCTTCCTCCTCTATAGAAAGAAGACAGTATACCTACCTCGCAGGGTTGTTGCAAGTATTAAATGACATACTATATATAAATTATTGAGTTCAGTGTCTGGCACATAATAGGAACTCTTAAAATGCTAACCCACCTTCCCCACCAGGTGATGATGTCAGAATGGTATTGCCTGTCCAATATATTTAAAAAGAGCCTGGAATGATAGACAGAAATTTAGATCATAAAAAATGCACAAATGGGCCTTGAATTTAAGCAAACCCAATATATACAAAATTAGATTTATAGAAGAGTAAAACAAAGGTGGGGTTATTATTTAGTGATATCCTCTAGAGCATTTCAAAGAAAATTTGGTCACAAAAATTTAATTTACACACAACTTTTCTGGTTCAGTAAACCCTGAAAAAAATCCAATTAGATTAGAAGGAAAAAATTGATTTAATGAGCACTGAAACCCATGCAAAACTGGAGATCACTTGTCAGCGGGACAGGTTTCTTTGATTGTGGCTCAGGGTGCCATCCAGTTCAGCCTGATTCCTCACAAAATGTGATTATTTTTATCCTCAAGTAGACTTGGACAGCATTTTGTGTTTCAAATGATGGAGGCCCTGCGGGGATGGGGGAGACTGGGGGAACACGTCCCTGAGCTTTCTAGAAGCTATCTGGTCTCCAGGTGACCATGGATTTTTCTCCTGGTTTCTAGCTTGTGCCTGGGCCCACCCAAAGCCAGTGGACCTGAGAGGAGAGGATGTGAGAAACTGTTCAACCAGCCCTCCGGTAAGACCTCAGCCCTGTCCTGCAGCTCCCCTCCTCATCCCCCACTGGCTCAGTTGCTAGCCTCTCCCTCTACCAGGATTTCTCCTGATTTCCAGACTCTGGGGCCCCTGTTTCTGATTAACATCCCTTAGGGCTGGCAGCACATTCTCAGGTGTCTGATATCCACCCCCATCCTTCCCTCCCACCCATTCCCACAGCAGGTTATCGCCTTCCGTCCAGGCCTGGGCCTGGGCAGCCTTGATCGGGGGAGGGACAGGGCCGGGAAGCAGGATGAGAGGCCCCTAGCTAGCCTTTGGCTGAGGCTAGGCAGATGTGAGGAGGAGGATGGGTGGAAAGAAAACAAAAATTCTAGAAAAACAGCCAAGAGGGAGGAAGACAGAGGGCTAGAATAGCCAATGGAAGGACAAGAGGGAGACCTCAGGGTGTAAAGAGGCGAGAAGGCGAAGCACATTGGAGCTGAAAGGCTGTCAGCTTCCCAGCTGGAGACAGAGGCATTCTCTCCACAGCAGAGTAGAGCAAAAGAGATGCCCCAGGCCGGGGAGGGCCAGAAGGTGAGAGGTGGTGGGCCTGCCAGCAGCCCACTGAGCCTCAGGGCCAGTAGGGTACAGCCGCTTGCAAAGGCCGCTTCATGAGAGCACCGGAGCAGGCCAGTGGGCAGGCAAGCCACATTGCTTTCATATTAAAGCAAACACGGTTGTACCACTGAGTAAAAGGCAAACCCAACCAGCCAACCAAGCAAAAACCCATGCTTTTTATTTTAAAGATAAAACAATCTCTAAAGAAATGTGTGGCTTGGAGGGGATCTTTCAGGACAATGTGCCAAAATGCTGTGGGTACTCATTCACTCACCTCTGCCAGCTGAGACCAGTCAGTGGAACCTGAAGAAGTCCTCAAGGCAGGGTTGCAAGATGAAATACAGGGCACCCAATTACATCTAAATTTCAGATAATGAATAGTGTTTTAGTGTAAGTATGGCCCGTGGGCCATACTTATACTACAACATTAATGTTGTTTATCTGAAATTCAAATGTGACCAGGTAGGTGGCCTGTATTTTTATTTGCTCAGTTGGATGCCCCTAAGGCATCCAGAGAGAGACAGTCCTCCTGGCCTGGCCCAGTGCGAGGGCTTAGACCCCTGCGGGTCTCAACACACCCTCATCCCAGACCCAGGTCCCATTATTGTCACAAGGGGTCCCTCTGCAAGTTCTTGAACCCTTCCAGCTCTACTCAGCCCAGAGACCTTCATCTAGACTGACCCATAACTACAGCTGCTGCCCCATTGCTCCAGGCCCGCACAGTGCCCCACCCCCAATGCCTGCCTAAGGAGAGGCTTGTGGCTCCTCTGGATGCTGGGGGCCCCAGGCACCATTTTCTCTAAGCAGTGTGTGTGTGTGTGTGTGTGTATGTGTGTGTGTGTGGTGTGTGTGTGTGGTGTGTGTGTGTGTGTGTGTCTTGGTATCTTCCTGTCTCCTGTCAGTACCTTCCAGTTACTGCAGTCAACACCACAGTGCAGCTCATAGCCCTCCGCCAGCAGATGCTCACCTGGAATCTCTCTGCCTACATCGTCCCTGACACGGATGCCCACATGGTGAGGGATGGCTTCTCCCTCACCCTTGCCCTCTCTGGTACCCTGCGTCGGCCTCTGAGAACAGGCCACAGATAAAAGGGTGTTAAGGCTCAGAAGATGAAGGCAGAGAAAGAACTCAACGGGCGAAAGGAAGTTGCTGGAGAGCTTGGACATGGCAGTTTTTGGGCAGCTGAAAGAATGTATTCCTTTACATAGGGGAGAAGACATTGCCAAATCTCCTTGACCTCAGGCAGTGAAACTATAAGCAACTTGAGAATTAATTCTGCTCAATTCCTAGATGGCAGATCCAGAATGAATGTTTAGGGCAGCCCAGCCATAGTTGCTTAGAATGTGGGCTAGAAATTGAACTGGAAGAACTCTAGGCTCACATGCAGCCCAGCCCTTCCCATAATCTGATGGATGGAACATTGAAATGATCTAGACTCCAGCCTATATGAGTTTTGGGGGTTGGCAAGGGGAAGGAGAGCAGACAGGAAACAAGACAGTCTGCAGGAGAACTGCTTTTCCCAAAGCAGTGCCCTTGCCCAGCCAGCCACCCTTCCCCACCACTGTTTGCACCTCCACCCAATCCACCATCCCAGCACCAGTCTGTTTGGAAGAGAAGGCATTTTCAGTATCATAAGATGGCTTGAATTAGTTTTCCCATCTGCTGGGAAGGGCTAAGAACCTTGAGTAGGTGCCTAAACTTTTCTAAGCCTCAGTTTCATCTTTGGCAAAATGGGAATAATGGGATCTGTCTCCAAGCATTGTAAGGAATGAAATACAATAATGTGTAAAGCCCTCTGCAGAAGTTTTTATGATGTACCCAGTGTACTGTGCTAGACTGGAGAGTGGGAGGGGACAGCTGGAGGGGAGAACCCCAAAGAACCAAAAAACTTGATCCCATCCCGCACAGAATTTGCATTCTGGCTGGGAGACAAGACTCCTTTGCTGAACAGTCTAGTACTGGACTGTGAGGTTTAGACTCCAGAGATATAGTTGTTCAAAGGAAGGAAAGATCCTGAGAGCTGGGAGAGTTTCAGAGGGTTTCCTGGAAGAGATACCCAGCGTGTCTGGGCTTATAGGACTGGTTGAATTTGACCAGACAGAAAGAGCTGGGATGTGGATGGCGGCCTTCTTGTGTGATCTGACTCCACAAAGAAGGCTAATGATGGTGTTGTTAATTTCCTAGAGCGAGTACATTGGTAAACGTGACGAGAGGCGTGCGTGGATGACAGGCTTCACAGGGTCTGCAGGTGACACCCCTTACCTGAACCCGATTGTTTCTGTTGGTAGGCCTAGAGCTGGTCTCAGAGACCCTGCTGTGGCTGGTTCTCAGCAGCCAGGACCCTAGAACCTAACGTCCAGAGGTCCCTGCTACTCTCTCTCTTCCTTCCCTCCACCATTCCAAAAAGGACACACATCTCATAGCCCACCAGCCACACTTCTGCATGAAGCAGATGGCCCTCCTGCCTTCCTTCCTGTGCTAGCTGGCCCCTGCCACAGCCAGGCCCAGTTTAGCATTCCCTGGGTTCCATTTCTGGGGCAGTCACTACCTCCACATCTAGCTACTAGGGGCCTGCTGATTCCCTTCATAAAATGAATGGCTCACTTGGGGACCAAGTTTTACTTCGCCAGTCCTCTTATGGACAACATCACCTCACATGGCCAAATGAGACATGAACATAGAAGCCCTTTATCGGGTCCCAGTTTCTGAAGGAGTCTCCCACCTGATCCTGGCCCCTTGAATGAAATTCAAGCTTCTCCAGCTGATCCTTAAAGATTCCTTTTCTGCCTGTCCTCAGCTAAGCCCCTGGATTAGTGTCCCTATCAGCCACCAAATCTTGACACTGACTACTACATCATCTTCCCTGAGGGCCCCTACCTGCAATATTGACCCTTTTGGACTGCCAAAAGCAGACCCCGCTTATCCTGCTAAAAGTCCTAATGGCCTGCTTAGGAGGGGCTCTCAACAAAAAACCCAGGATCCCAGGATGCCTGACCCAGGATCCCTTTCACCTGGCTTGCCCCAATGCTCTCTTTAACATCTGCCTCACTCCTTCCAACTGAGGAGATAAGCTTTTTCCAGAGGCCCCTTGTGACATTCCCAGAGCCAGCACCGCAGTGCACATGCACTAACTAAAGCCTTCATTCCCACCTCCAAGTTTCCCTGTTCTGCTCCAGGAAGTGCAGTGGTGACCATGGGGAAAGCAGCTCTCTGGACAGACAGTCGCTACTGGATCCAGGCTGAGCGGCAGATGGACTGCAACTGGGAGCTCAATAAGGAAGGTAAAAGGGCTACACGGACTTGTCCCCCAAAGCCTGGAACCTAGACTAGGTTTGGGAATGTACATGCACGCAAAGCCATGCTGGGCCCCTATGGGAAGCTTGGGAAACTTGAAGCCGTCCTTAACCTTTGAGGCTGATATCAAGGAGGCTACACATGGCAGGACTGTCACAGACAAAAGCCTGCCTGGAGGGCCTGGGGGGCCCTGGAGATTATCTGTACGTTTTTTCCTATTTTTCTCTCAGTTGGCACCAGTCCTATTGTCAAGTGGCTCCTCACTGAAGTTCCTGATGGAGGGCGTGTAGGCTTTGACCCCTTTCTCTTCTCCATTGGTATGTTATTTCCTCAGTCCTTGCATCTGTCCACGCCAGTAAGAGTGACTCAGCTCCTCCGGGATGTAGAGGCATACCTTGGGAGATGAAGCAGCAGGGTGGCTCTAAAGTTAGAATGTTTGATCTTGAGGTTGCAGAATATTTTGCAACAAGGATGTCTCCATGGATTGTGTAATAAAGATATATTTAAAAGAATGAATATAGATTTTTTTTTAAGTCATGAATGCAGAGACCCAACCTAGGACACTCAGGGAAAATCATTAAGCTCTAGCAGATGAATAAGCCAGTATGTCCTTAAATCCAGAACTCTGCGAATTATGGCACTAGAATCACGTGGTAACCCTTTTCTAGAAGGCAGCTTAGAAGGGTCAAAGTTGCTGAGTGGGCTTCTGCATAAAGAAGCAAAGTCCCCACCCTCCAGGAATACAGGTTCCTGAGCTATGGGGTCCCAGACAGCTGGCCAGCCTGTTCCCAAGTGTAGAGTCCTCAGGAATATGTACTGAAAGGCTCCCACTTCAAAACTGGCTTCTTTGCCAGCCTTTCAATGGCCTGAACATCACCAGTCTTTTGGGCTGTGACATTGAAACTCAGTTAAAGTGGACAGTACCAAAAGGAGAGTTCCCCAGCCAAGCGCACTTAAAAACATGAGCTTAGCCAATTGGTGGTAGGCAGTGTTGGGGTGGACTTGGGGGCAATTAGGCTTTGAAAGCAGGAAGAAGAGGCTGAGAGGACAAAGTCAGGAGGGTCAGACTGCCCGAACAGGCTCTGTGCAGCTAGGGCCCATAGAAGTGGAGCAGGAGGCTGAGTGGGCAGGGCTAACTTTGTGTGAGTTACAGTTTTTCCTGAGGTGTAAACAAGCAGGGGATAAGTGATGCTTCCTGTCTCTACAGGCTCCTGGGAGAGTTATGACGTGGCCCTCCAAGGCTCTGGCATAGAGCTGGTGTCCATCACAGCCAACCTTGTGGACCTGGTATGGGGCTCAGAGAGGCCTCCAGTTCCAAACCAGCCCATTTACGCCCTGCAGGAGGCATTCACAGGTGGTTCCCTAAGCTTCTCCTTCCCAGCTTATAGCAACATGGGTCCTTGCTGCTGCCCCTTTGGCTGAAAACCTTGTCCTAAGAGGTACCAAGACAATGGTTCTTCAACTTTCATGTGCACCCAAATTACCTGGGGTGTGTGTTAAAACTGCAGATTTCTGGGCCCCTTCACCTCAAAGAGTCTGAATCAAAAGGTCCTCAGACCATATTCAGAAAATGCTGGAATAAATAGTATTAGGACGTGCAATGAGAGGGAGCAGAAAAGGAGGAAACAAGGGAGTCATAAAAAGAAGAAAAAACCCCACCCCTTTGAAGAGAGAAAAAGCATGCTATGAGTCTGGTAGTGGAGACCAGTTTGGATTGAATCATTCAAACCTTGACTTTGGGCCCTCCTGTAATAAGGAATTTAGATTTACAATGGCTGCAGTCAGTTGGGCCCAGGGTAGGCAAAGGAAGTCAAAACTCAGCATCAGTCTGTGGCCTAGATTAAGGTACAAGTTTTGGCCAAAGCACAAAAGAAAGTTAATTGGCCCCCAAAATTCTAACATCCATAATCTTGACCTCATTGACATCATCTAAATACATCATAAGAGAACAGTATGCTCTATAATTCCTGTAAATAGTAACTAAAATCCTGACCAGGATTAGGCTATTGATTATGAATCAATGTCTTGGCCACCACCACCTCCTACCTCCCCGGGAATTCTGAATGAGCCAATGACTTGGATTCCTAGGAATATTGGGCAATCTGAGAGGCCCCTTTCCACATGCAAGTCCACATGTACTTCTTGTTTGAAATGGAGTCCAAAAAGCAGGAGGGAAATTTCAAAATAGGGATGATGAAACAAGTTAAAATTGTGCCCAATTTTCTTTATCCGTTCTGATGTAACTTGCAGAATCATTCTTTCTGCATCTCAACACAGTTTTTAAAGGCACTTGCTATCCAAGACGGTTTAGTCATAAATAAAACACATCCCATTCAGATAAGGAAGGGCTCAGTTATGTCAGGAAGGGGAGGGATAAAGGGGAGACCCTTCCAGGGACAGGTGAGAATTCACATGCATTTCGTTGCTTCCCACAAGCTGTTAAGCTGCAAGGAAAAGTCATCCCAGGAGCCAGAGGTGGGCCTGGAAGCCCAAGAACAGAGTTCTTGAGTCTCTAAGCTTTACAGGGACAAGAGAGACTCTCTCTCCAGCAACTCATAGGTTTTAGAGGCAAAGGGGAAAGGGACGAACATGAAAAGTCAGTTACTCAAAGGTACTTGTATGCATCAGACAATTTAAATTTGTTTTCAGTTGTCTCAAAAATATATCACATCCATGAACCTTGGAAAAATAATTCGAAGTGAAACCAGTCAGAGAAGGCCCCATATTGTACCATTATATTTGTATAAAATATGAAGTGCAGGCAAATCCATAGACAGAAAGCAGATTGGTGGTTTCCAGGGGCTGAGGGACAGGGGAATGAGGAGTAACTGCTTAATGGCTACAGGGTTTCCTGTTGGGATGATAAAAATGTTCTGGAATTAGATAGTGGTGATGGTTGCACAATCTTGTGAGTGTTCTTAAAGCCACTGAATTGTGCACTTTAAAATGGTTAAAATGATAAATTTTGTGATATGTGTATTTTACCACAATAAAATAAAATAAACCTTAAAAAGTATTATACCCAAGGCTTTGGTTCTTGTTGAATAGTTTTACCTGTTTGCATAGTTTTTTAATGGCATCAAATTACCTATGCTATTCTCTGAGCCCAACTAGGACTCTTAATGCTTACCACCTTCTGCCAGCAAATTCCTAGCCCTTCCTAGGGACAGACTCTTTATATGCATTACAGGGAGCAGGAATCAAAGATGACAAGTAAACCCCTAGAACCTGGGTACAAGCATCTGAGAAAGTACAGCTCTGTGACACAGTTTTACGGACAAGTTTGGAGACTGAGAATGTTAAGCAAGATAGACCAGTGTCTGTACAGATAGAGTGAACCATGTAAACAAACAGATCTGGATCCAAATCTCAGCTCCACCCCTTGCCAGCTATGAAATCCTAGATAAGTCACTTTACCTCCCTGAAGCCACAATTTCCTTATCTGTAAAATGGGCCAAGCAAGAATTAAAACAATGTACACTAGGTGCTTAGTCCAGACCCATGGTTTATTAAGCCCCAGGGTTACTTCAGGAAGGAGGCTTGAACATGATCCAACCCTATCCCATCACCCTTCAACTAAGGCTGCTCTCCGATCTCTGTTCTACCTGCTTAGAAAGTTATACCAGACTTCCTGTATACCAAGACACCATTCTACATGCATTACAAATGTTAATTCATTTGATCCCCATAACCCTATTGAGGTAGATACTATTATAATCTATCCTCATTTTACAGATGTGTAAAATAAGACACAGAGGGCTTAAGTAATTTGCTCAAGGTCACCTAGCTAGTAAGGCAAAGCCAGGACTTGAACCCAAACAGTCTGGTTCCAGAGCCCATGTCCTTAACAACTACAGAAGTAGGAGTTTGTGTGAAGAGAGTTCTACTTTTGAAGAAGAGGAAGACTACTGACCTAAGGGAGGCTGCTCAGGAGCAGACTGCCAGAGGGAAGGTTTGTCACTTACGGTTTCTTTGGGCTTCTTTGCTTCTAGGGAGCAACTGGCAGGAGAAAGTATCTGCTATCCGCAGCCAGATGCAGAAGCACCACAATGCTCCAACTGCCGTCCTTCTGTCGTCGCTGGATGAGACAGCCTGTGAGTACAGGTCTGCAGATATGGGTGGGCGTCTAGGTCCCCCCAGTCCTCTGGGTCCTACAGCACAAGTCACCTCCCCTAACCACCACATACTCTCCAGTTCTGAGAGCTCCATGACTGTGGCCTATGGGAATTAAGAAGGGTAGGGGGCAGGAGATCATAGCTGCTGAGTAAGGAAGCCAGGAAACCCAGAGCAGGCTGGGGCCAGCCTACAGGCCCCCAGAGCATGAATGGACTGACCATGGTGTCAAAAGCTTTCTATCTCCTGAAGGGAAAGAGGCCCAGCTAACCCCTCTCAACAGCCTGGCCACCATCCCAGGGCACTTACCCTTCCAGCCTCAGCACCCAGTGCAGCCCTATTCTGTCCCAATGTGGCTCAGGGCTTCTTACCTGTCCCCAGCCCTGGGTGTCAGAGATTCTGGAACCCCATGGAAACTGTATGCTGAGAGCTAGCTGAGTACCTGCATTTTTCTGGCAGAAAGGGTCCACAGTGCTCATCAGCAACCCAATGACACCACCCCATCTCCACAGACTGAGAAAATTCAGGGGCAGGTGTGCTGGCAGGAATCTTTGGGGACCAAAGCAAACAGTGGGCATTAATGTCCCATGTGCTTGCCTCAGGCAGATAGGCCTCAAAAGGGCCTCGTCAATTCTCTTTCCCAGGGCTCTTCAACCTTCGAGGCAGTGACATCCCTTATAACCCCTTCTTCTACTCCTACACACTGCTCACGAACTCCTCTATCAGGTATGGCTTTTCCTTGGCTTGCAGTCATGGACTTCCTCCCACTTGCACCCCTTCACTGCCCCACCACAAACCCTGCCCCAAAGTGCAGCCTTCCCAGGAGCATGGTGTCTACCCCAGCAGAAGAAGCTTTTCCTCACCCTGACCTCTTTTATACCTTCTCCAAATCTGGTCTGCTTGGATCCATGGCACAGACTTCCTCTGACCTCTAGGAACAAAGGCCTCTGATCCTTTGTGTTGCCCTTAGAGACACTCAGGACCCTCTTGGTCTTCCCTCCCCACCTAGGTTATTTGTAAATAAGAGTCACCTTCACTCTGAGACTCTGCAGTACCTGAACTTTGGCTGCACAGGCCCCATGTGTGTGCAACTTGAAGATTATGGCCAAGTTCGTGACAGCGTCCAGGCCTATGCCTCAGGAAGTGTGAGGATCTGGATTGGGACCAGCTATACTACATACGGGCTCTACGAAGTAATACCCCAGGTGGGTCTGCCAGGCCCCAGCCTGGGCCAGGCACTGCCCTCCTCCCGCCTGATTAAGTCTCAATCTAAAGTAGAACACAGCCCTTTGGCCATTCAGGTAATGGATCAGTCAACAGGGATGCAGTGAGTCCCCTTCTAGGCCTCCTGGGAAAGAGACAGAAGAAGAGCAAGCTGGGTGTCTGTCCACAGAGAGCTCAGAGACTGCCAGGGAGGCTAGAGGGAATAGGGCATCTTTCCACAGAGACCTCAGAGACTGCCAGGGAGGTCTGAGGGAGTACAGCCTGGAAGAGCAGGGGCTCTGAAGCCACCAAACCTGAGAATGAGTCCTGGCTCTGCTCAGGACTGACAATGCAATGGCCTTGTTCAAGTGGCTTAGCCAGTCTGGGCCTGTTTCCTTATGCGTAAGAGTCCCAACCTCAGAGGACTTCCTCTGAGGAGATTTAGAGGAGATGGTATGTGTAAAGCCCCATGCCTGTTGCCACACAGCTTGTGCTCAGTAAATCATAGCTGTTATGATATGTGCCAGAAATTCATGATGTCAGAACAGCCCATCACCTGGTGAAGGCCAAGCTCTAATCTATCCCAGAGCACTGGTGGGTCCCAGAAGGAGAGTTAAGCTGGACACGGAAGACTGGGAAAGACCTGCATAGAAAAAAAGCACAGACAGGAAGTCATAGCCACTATAGGGAACAGCAAGTCTCCCCTCAGTCAGGCTTGCCTGCCAGTCCTCTTCAGACACTGCTGTGCCCTGGAGGTGCTCCCAGATCCTTTCCTCTCTGCCCATAACAGGAGAAACTAGTAAAAGACACCTACTCCCCAGTGATGATGACCAAGGCGGTGAAAAACAGCAAAGAGCAGGCCCTCCTCAGGGCCAGCCACGTAAGTCCATGGGCAGGCCGACTAGCTTTTGGGGAGTCTCAGTCTGGTGGGTTAGCAAGGAGACCCTACAGTATCGGAAGAGCCTGAAGAAGCCCTCAATAAAATAGAAGAGTGGACACCAAACTCCTGGGCACCCGCCTATGGTTTGCCCCCTTATCCTAACATGGTACAGTGGTTTAGAGCATGGGCCCTGGAGCTACAGTGTCTGAGTTTAAATCCCAGTTCCTCCATCCACCTCCTAGCTGGGTGACTTTGGGCAAGCTGCCTCAACTCTCTGGGTCTTAGTGACCTCATCTGCAAAATGAGGATCATGATAGTCATCTACAGCATAGAGTTGCTCTGAGGAGTAATAAATAAGCAAACATATATACTATGAGGAACATAGAATAAATAGTAATATATAATTAGTATATGTTTAAATATATTATAATGCACATTCATATATTATATGTACATGTGTGTGTATTTGTACATTTACATACATATAATGTATACAAACAAATGTATCATATAATTATATACATACTTGTATAACATAATTTGTATGTTATATAAATATATAATACTTGTGTGATTATATAAATGTTATAAATATATAATTACATACAGAAAATACAACTTTAGATATTTTTTTTGCTTGGTGTACCACCTGGCACGTTCCAAGTCCTAAATACATGTTAGCCGTAATAATTTCCTCACCCTGGCAAGAGGATAGCTCACTCTTTCGGATATTCCTGTTAAAATAAGGATAAACTGACTCATTTTGAAAAGCTTTTTCTTATGGAAAATTTTGAACATATACAAAAGTGGAGAAAACAGCATACTGATCCACATGCACCATCACCCAGCTTCTACAGTTATCAGCTCCTGGCCAGTTCCTCTTTGTCTACAACCCCACGTTCATTCCCTCCACTCACCCTCTGCTGCTGGATGATTTTAAAGCAAATTCCAGATAGCAAATAGTTTCTTCTGTTAACACTTCAGTAAGTATATCTAAAAGATAAGAACTTTCTTGAAAACATGACCACACTATGATCAGAGATATAAATATTAACAAGAATCCCTTAATATCATTAAATAGCCAGTGATGCCCTCGCATTTTTAAAATCTCAGCTCCCATAGCAGCCCCCTGATCTCCTTCATCCCGGAGCCCTGGCCACGATGATTCCTCAGCCAGATTCTCTGCTTGCCCACTCCAGGTGCGGGACGCCGTGGCCGTCATCCGCTACTTGGTCTGGCTGGAGAAGAACGTGCCCAGAGGCACGGTGGATGAGTTCTCCGGGGCAGAGTTGCTGAACAAGTACCGAGGGTAAAGAACCACCGCCGTCCGTTTTGGCTGACTAGCTTTTAATGTGGGGGTAGGGGTAAGAAGTGGGGGCTTGGTCTCCTAATTTAGCCGGAAAGAAGACCTTCCTTGTATTTAGGAGCCTCTCCTGAGCAGGGAGTGATTGGTTCTTGGGTGGTGGGCATGCTTCTCAGGGGTGTTGAAAGAGGGACGTGAAGGGCCACAACCCAACAGTGCCCCCTAGTGTCTTCTTCAGGCACGGCCTACTCTCCCCCGGGAAGGCTGACTCAGGCCAGGTAGGGCTCCTGCGCCACTTGAAAATATCAAGTTGGGAAGAGAGGTTCCCTTCAGGCATGCGTCGGTCAGGCCATAGGCAGACTGTAGGTCTGAGGTGCAGGATGCTGCCCCGGAGCTGGGGGAGTTTTCAGATACAGGGAGCTAAGTTTCTTCACTCTTGCTTTACCATGAACTCAATGTGGGACATACAGGCCTTGGTTTCCCCATCTTTAAAATGGAGGTGGATGGGGAAAAATTGGTGTCCCTCCTTCTTTTACCTGAATGCTCTATAAGTGACAGGTTTGAGCCTGGGAAGATGGAACTGGGAGGTAGGCTAGGAGAACCAAATGAAGTCTGGCTGAGGTTAGAGGCAGTCATGATCTTCATTTGTCTGGTTAGATATCCTGGGCCCACTCTGGCCCCTGAGCCCATTCATTGACCATTCCTGTTGTGTACATTCCAGAGAAGAACAGTTCTCATCTGGACCCAGTTTTGAAACCATCTCTGCAAGTGGCCTGAATGCTGCTCTGGCCCACTACAGGTACTTCAGGAGAAGGAATTTTCTAGGGCCCTGTGGGGGATCCTGCTATATGTGCAGGGGAAGGGAGTCTGGAGGAAGGAATGCTCTGGAACTCGAGTGCACATTTAAGATTTGGGGCCTTTAGCACTATAGGGGCTGCAGGTGGGCAATGGAGCTCAGTCCAGGGTTTGGCGTCCTCGGAATTAAAAAGCCTGAGCAATTTTCCCCCAAGAGGCTGGGTCTTTTAGATCTCAGGGCTGGAGGAACTAGAAGGGAGGCAGGTCTACTGCTGAATGCTTCCCCTTGGCTTCCTGTGAGTTATTTATTTTAGCTGGTTCTTAAAACTCATGAGTACACAGTGAGAAAAGTGTGTTCACTCAGCCTGAACCAGCCAAGGTGGGCCCAGGATGTAGGCTAGCCAGATATTTGGCCCCATAGAAAATAAACCCCTGCAGGCCTACCTGATAGAATTTGGGGGACCAAGCCCACCAGAGCCCTCAGCCTGGCCTGGGCACAGCAGGGAGAGGTCAGATGCCCTCCAGGGGCCGGGCTGGCCTACCCCAGAATTCCCTCCTTTGGCATCCCCCAAGTCTTCAGCTAACTTGGCCACTCCCTTCTCCCCACTGAGAGTGGCAGCTCCTCAGCCCCACTAATTCTTGCCCTCCAGCCCCATCCCAGAGTAGCCTTCCTTGCCGTGCCCTGGCTTCTCAGGGCCTCTGCTCTCAGAGGCAGCAGGAAGTTGGAGAGCACTGGGCTGAGCATGTGGGTCCAGGCCCAGCTCCCTCCCAGCTTTACTGCCAGGCCCCCAGGCAAGCCCCTTAGCTTCTTCAGGCCTGCTTCCCCTCATGGGACAGGGGATGGCTTCCTTGGGTGCTTTCTAAGGCTCTCCAGGCTCCTGCATTCTGGGCTTGTTCCTTTCTCGCTCCCTGGGGACCAGGACCTTGCTTGGTGAGGGAAGGATGAACAGATGTGCACTAAGGACATGAGCGGCAGAAAGTGAACACTCTCCCTGGGCCCTTTGGGAGATGATGACTTCCCCAGTGGAGTTATCCTGGAGGCCCTCCCCCCATGGATGAGGGCGTCCTCTGCTTCCACGCAGGACCCCCACCCTGCTCAGTGCACGGTTAGGCCCCTCCTTTCTTAGCAGCTTTCCCCTTCCTAGCCCAACCAAGGAGCTGTACCGCAAGCTGTCCACAGATGAGATGTACCTGCTGGATTCTGGGGGGCAATATTGGTATGTACTCCCCACCCCACACTGGCCCAGCTGTCTTGGCTCAGAAAGCTCTGGCCAGCCAAGAGCTGGTCAAAGCTTTCCCTTCCTGGGTGTGGATCCTTCATCCCAGAAAGGAGAGGCCTGGACTGAATGACCCTGAGCATCCTTCCCATCTTCCCACCTAGGGGTCCCTGCACAGTGGGAAACACACAGGTCAAAACAGGGGGCTGCCCATGCAGCATCTCTGTGAGAAGCAGGAAAAGACTGCTTGCTCAAGTAAAATGTTTTTTTAAGCCCACATATTATTACACAGTCTGGACAGCCATGCTTAGCAGCCCTGCCTGGCTGCACAAACAGTGCACCCAAATTCTCACCCATCACGCATACCCTGGACACTGCCAGCACCAGGCATCCTCCTCAGTACCTGATCCTCCAGTGCACAGGTGAGGTGACCATGTCAACTTGGGGGTGGGGGCAGGATCAGGCCTCCAAGAGCAGCAGGCAGGTGAGAGAAGCAACTTTAGGAGACACCCAGAGCACAACTGGGACAGGGCACACCCATCAGCATGGGTATGTGTCTGTGAGTGGGTATGTGTGTATGCTCTTCTGAGTATGTGCATGACCATGTGTCAGGTTACATAAGAGGGCACTCTTCCCTGCTCCAGGACTCTATAGTCTGTGTGTTCATCTATGTACTCTTGTTAAAATAATATATAACTATGAAATGAATGGCACCCCTTTAGATGTGTTACCCTTGTACAGTGCACAACCTGAACACCCAGACATGACAGCCATGCAGAATAGGTAACACCATTCCTTCCAAATGTGTGACCAATCATTCACACAGGAACTGAGATGAAATGAACTGGGAGATGTTCTCAGTAAGCTTAGGGGAAAAGAAAGGGAGTGCTGAACTGTTGGAGGTGCAAGAAGTAGTTTTGAACAGTTTCTCATCCTCCATCCTATAGAAATGGTAAATGTGCCAATGACAAAGGCGCTTTGCTTGTTCTTAGCAGAGGTCTGGGAGCCAGTGTGGCAGGTGCTCAGCCTAGCAGCCTTTGCTACTCACCAGTTTGGCGCTGTGTGTGCTTGAGATCCAATGAGCAAAGAGGAAGTGAATTGGTGGGCGTGTTGCTGAATTGGGGCATGTTCAGAGCAGGGTGAAGCTGGGGAAATGGGTGCCTTACTTCCTCTTCTCTCCTCCTGAAAACGTCTGCCATGCCCTGTGATCTGCTTCCAAGGAGGAGTCTCAGTTCCCTGGGACCATTTCTTCCCTCCTCCTCCTCTCCCAGGGATATCCCTGGGGGTCATGTGGGTGAAAAGCTGCAGCTGGTGGTTGGGAGTCAGACATTTTGGCTTCTGGCTTCAGTTCCCTGGAACTCAGCGAATCTCTGGGTTATATCAATGTCTACAATGGAGAAAACCTTGTGGCTGGCAGTCAGTGCTTGCTCCAGGCCCGGCTTCACTGAAGCCCGGAGTGGGAGACGGCTCGCTACCTCAGCTGCCTCATCTGTGAAATGGGGATAATGAGGCCTGCTCTGCTACCATTCCTGGGGAGCCGCAAAAGTGTCCTATAAATGGTGAATAACTATCAGAATGTTATCATCTCTCTGACCTCAGTTTCTCCATCTGTAAAAGTGAGACAATCCCCCCTACTTCCCTGAAAGCCCGGAAGAAGCTTTGCTTTCAGAGCCAGCTTGAGCCAAGGAAACCCGGGTTTACAAAACAGAAAGGACTGGTAGCAGAGCAAAGAATGTATGTGGGGAATCAGAATGCTCAGACACCACAGGGATTTCGAACTTGCAGAGCCCCTTCATGCGCTGATGCCGAAGATGGGCATTTGATGATGTCAGCTATCCCCTTCCTTTCAACCCCATCTTATCCCTGCCATTCACACCGCAGTGGAAAGCACACAGGAAGCTCATAGCCATGACCATGATCCCTACCCCCAAGTACTCACCAGAGCTGGACAAGCTGATTTTCCTTCTCCATAGGGATGGAACCACAGACATCACCAGAACAGTTCACTGGGGCACCCCCTCTGCTTTCCAAAAGGTAAGCAAGTGCTGGACCCAGATTTCTCCTACCCACCCTCATTCAAGGGACACCCAAGCAGTCATTCTGCCAAGAGCCCTTTCATTTACAGAGGCTAAAACTGAGGCCCAGAGAGGTTAAGTAGTTTGCCCCAGGTCACACAGCAAGTTAGTGCCAGAAAACTCAGGGCTCCCAGCTACTTCCCAGAGATATTTCAGGCCACCAACGGGGCCTCAGCTCAAGCCTATCATCATCCAATTTCAGCAAATCAGTGAACAAATATTTATCTAGTGCTGTCTGTACACCTAGCCCTGTGCTCAGCAAAAAGGAGAGAGGCATTCCAGGCAGAGAGAAAATGGCACAAGCAAAGTCTCAGAGGTGGAAAACTGCTGGAGGCTTTCAGGGAGCAGTGAGGGCTGGTCTGCTGGGGGCAGAAGCTGGGACAGGGTCTGTGTGTGCTTTGGGGCCTTGGCAGAGGGTGGGGGACAGAGAGCAGGGGGCCACATTGACACGTTCAGCAGGCAGACTGTGGCTCAGATATTGTGCTGGAAACAGAGAGAGAGAGGGAAAAATCAAATGTTGGCCAGTCCTCCAGGAGCTCACAGTTTAGTGGGTTGAATCCACTGCCCCAGGTTATCATTCAGGAGTGAGCAGGAGAAGAGATCATTGTCAGCCCACTATCAGGTCCCAACCAAAACTTAAGGCCTTAATTAAAGGACATCATGATAATGGCCATAAGGGTGCTGACCTCTATTTCAGCACTTACCTTTGGAGCACCTTGTGTGCATGAGCCTACCTATCACTCCCAGCAACCTTGTAAGCTAGTACTATGATTATCCCATTAGACAAGGAAACTGAGCCAGAGAGTGGTTCAAGTTCCTTGCCCAGCGTCTCAGGATTTGGGAGTGGCCAAGTCAGAATTCCAGCCCAGGGAGTTTACCTCCCACCCCCTACTGTCAGGCCTCCGCTCACCACCATGTACAAGCATCCCTATGGACCAGCCAAAGAGAACTGCATGGACCAAACCCCAGCTTTGGGCAGGTCCTGCTCAGCCTCCTGTGGCCATCGTCTAGAACCTGGGTGACCACACATGAGCGTGCACTTCCCCCACCAACACAGCCCCCAACAGGCCTGGGCCCACACCTGCATGCACACAGGCAGAGCAGCTGGGGAGTCCCAGGCTCCTCCTCTCATGCACCGCATTACCTCTCCCTCTCCTCATCAGGAGGCATATACCCGTGTGTTGATAGGCAACATCGATCTGTCCAGACTCATCTTTCCTGCTGCTACATCAGGTGGGTTTTGGAAACCAGACTGGACCCAGCCCACCACTCTGGGAGGATAGTGGGGCAGGGATTATATCATTATCCCATCCATTGTATAGATGAGAAAATCTAGCCCAGAAAGTGTGCCTCACCCAAGGTCAGACAGAAGGTTAGTGGTGGAGCCAGGCCTTGAACCCCGGCCACCTACCTCATAATCTAACAGGGTAGCTCAGAGGTGAGGGAGGTCACTATGGGCTGCAGCAGTCACAGAGGAGTCCTGGAGGAAGAAGGGCATTGATAGATGGGGAAAATTGTAGTAGAGTCATCAGTCCAAGTAATGGGTACAATGTGGATGGAGTACACAGGAGATAGTGCTGCTACCCTGCCTGTCTGGAGCCACTCTTTGCAGGTGCCATCCTGGTACCTGGGTCTGGGACAGAAGAGCAGGAAGGGGCCAAGTGGACAGCCTGGATCCAGCCAACTAATTCTCTTCCAGGGAGAATGGTGGAGGCCTTTGCCCGAAGAGCCCTGTGGGACGTTGGACTCAATTATGGTCACGGGACAGGCCACGGCATTGGCAACTTCCTGTGTGTGCATGAGTGTAGGTGCCTCCTTAACACTGCCCTGGGGCCCCCCCTCTCATGAAAGAGTTAGAGCATTTCACAGGTACAAAAATGAGCAAGGCCCACAGATATGCAGTGACGCACCTGAGGTTACCCAGTGGTGGCAAGTGACGTTCCACAGCATAAGAAAGAAATGCTGGCAGCCAGCCACTCCTGCTGCTTGCTTGGCATCTGGGAGGGCCTCAGAGACAAGAGTGGCAGGTCAAGGCCTAGCAGCTGGCTGGCATACCCCAGAATAATAAAAGCCAGAGCCAATCTGACTTATACCAGCCCCAGGCAGACAATGATGCAGTGGACAAGGGCTGCTAGAGATGCCCATGGACCCAATTTCCTGCTCTTTCCGGAGCCCGCTAGTTTCTCAGCCAGTGAGTACAGAAGAGGTGACACCATGCTTACATCTCCCTTTTCAGGGCCAGTGGGATTCCAGTACAGCAACATTGCCATGGCCAAGGGCATGTTCACTTCCATCGGTATGGCTCTTAGGCTCTTCCACCCCCTCCCACTCCCAGCCTAGCCCAGGACTGCAGTCTAGGGAGCACCAGCCTTCAGGGAGCACACCAGGCACAAGGCCGCCTGTGTTCCACCACTGGGCTCCCTCACCACCCCCATCCCACCCCAAATGGATTGTCCCACCCAAACCCCAAGCCCCTTCAGTCCATACGCTCATTGTGCCCTTGGGAGTTGGCTCCTGGCTGTACATCCAGACTCCGCAGTCTCTGGGCAAACACTGGGGTAACAGGACAGTGGCACACAGGGAGATGGAGTGGAGTACCCAGGTGAGGTACAAGGGAGGGTCAAACCGGCAGGTTGGGGGCAGTCGGGCCCTCAAAGCCACTCCTTAATTGATAGAGGCAGCATGGGCTCCCCCTCCTTAATGCCCACCAGCATTTTCTGTGTCTCCCAGAACCGGGCTACTATCAGGATGGAGAATTTGGGATCCGTCTTGAAGATGTGGCCCTCGTGGTAGAAGCAAAGACCAAGGTAAAGTGTTATGAGATGCGCTGGAGGTATGGATGGCATGGCAGTGACTTCAGGCTGCATGGGGCATAAGGAAGGTCAGAGAAGAAGGGCACTTGATATGTGGGCATGAATTTATTTGGAGTCTTCTTTGGCTCCAGAAAAAGTCCATAAATCAGAGGTTTTCAAATCTGTTTACACATTAGAATATTAGAACCATCTGGAGAGCTTTTTTTTTTAAATGCCAATGCCCAAATCCCACTCTAAACCAAATGAATTAGTATCCTTGCCCTAAATCATTGATTCTTAATGCACATGATAAGTACCATGGGAGCTTGTTAGATATGAAGTTTCCACATAATAGCAACCAACAAGATGAAATTTCTAGATATAAACTTAAAAAGACTTACCTGGGGAAACTCTCTACTAAGGGACATAAAAAAGATTTAAATGGTACTTTCTAGAAAGGAGCCTTGATGTTATAAAGATGTCATTTCTCCCTAAATTAATCCATAAATTCAAGCCAACCTCAATTTCAGTGCTAACTAGATGCTTTGGTAACCTCACAAAATGATAGTAAAGTTTACTTGTGAAAATAAACATGCAAAGATGGCTAGGTAGCTAGGAAAATTCTGACAAAGAGAAGCAGTAAGGAAAACCCTTCTAGATATTAGCACATATGATTCAGCAGCCGTAACTAAAACAGGATGACACCAGAGAAAGGAGGGACACATATAACAATGAAACAGAATGGTTAGTCTGGAAACAGACCCTCTAATTTCCATAATCAAAATGGGAATTTAGTTTGCAGTAAAGATGGAGTTTCAAAGCAGTAAAGAAGCCAGATTGTTTAATAAATGGGCAGGGGATACAAATGGCTCATCGTTTGGGGGGATTAAGCTGAAGACCCTCACTGGTATACCAAAAAAAAGTTCCAAACAGATCAAGATTTAAAGGTGAAACCATAAAAGATCTAGAAGAACATCTATATAAATCATGTATCATCCCAATGTGGAAAGGGGCATTTCTATGCAAGACTCAGAAACCATGAAGAAAAAGATGGATGACTTATGAAATTAAATTTTAAAATGTCTATATGGAAACAATACCACAAACAAAAGTCAAGATGTATGACAAATAGAGCACATATGACAGAGAAAGGATGAACTGCCTTCTTTTACCATGAGCTTTTACAAATCAGTAAGACAAAAAGAGGGAAAACAGAAAAAAAGAGGCAAAGGAGATGAAGAAGCAATTCACTAAGATCAACACAGATGATCCATAAATGTGAAAAGATGCCCAACTTTATTCAAAAGAAATATAAACTTCGAATTATAAAACAAGACACAGGGATGAAAAGTACAGCATAAGGAATATAGCCAATAGCATTGCAATATCTTTGTATGGTGACAGACGGTAAGTACACTTATGGGGAGCATTTCATAATGTATATAATTGTCAAAATACTATATTGTACACCTGAAACCAATATAATGTGGTGTATCAATTATACTTCACTAAAGAAGAACAAAGTTAACTGTCTGAAGACATTTTTAAATGCAGTCAATTTCAACCTAAAAAAGAATGGATAATACAAATCAAAACAATTGTTTTGTTTTCAATTCAAATTCAATTTCAACTCAAAAAAGAATACAAATCAAAACAACAAAAGAGTACCATGTTTTGCTTACCCAACTGGCAAAAATGAGTATGTGGGGAAGTGGGCAGTCTCATACACTGCTGGGGGAAAGTACAAACTGGTACAGTCTTTCTGGAAGGGAGTTTGACAATATCTGTCAAAATACCTATTTAAAATGCCTGTACATTTTGTCTCAGCAATGCATCTGCCAGACAGGAACCTTCTGGACATAGTTCCAAAAGGTCACCAAAATGTTTGTTTATAGGTTGATGTTGATTGTAATAGTAGAATTGATGATATTGTAAAAATTGATGATAATAGTAAAAAAAGTGGAAACTGTGTAAGTGTCCATAACTGGTTAAATAAATCATCATCCACATGCCTTGGACTCTTACATAGCCCATAAAAAAGAAGAAGGTAAATCTTGAGCTAATACGGAGTGCTCTCCTAGGTTTACTATGGTGCGGGGGGAGAAAGCTCAGAAAAGCGTATATGATAGGATCCATTTTGCATGAATTTTAAAAATATACACATATGTATCCTGTATATGCCTAAAATGTATTTAGGAAGGAAACCAGGCAGGGAAGAGACTTTCAAATTCTATTGTGTATCTGTATTTGTAGTTCGAATTTTCTAAGCACATATATGCAACAGCTCTCTGGGAAATGGAAATTATGGGCTGTTTTTTTTCTTTATACTTATCTCCATATATAGATCAGTTGACAGATACATAAACAGAGATATCGGTGGAGATAGAGACATAGATTAGGTAGATAGATATAAAAAACTAATAACTCATATTAAAATTGAAGTGTAGGTTCCTGCCCTAGCCCTGCCCAGATTCTCACCCCAATGGTCTGGGGAGTGAGCCCCAGAATCTACATATTTAACAAGCTTCCTAGGTGCTGTGGATGCACACACTTTGAGAAACTCAGACCTAAATCCAAGTTTCAGAAATCTGGAGGGAAGCACTGAAGGCGGGATGCTAAGTGGTAGACTGGGAGCCAGTAGGGCGGTGAGGTGGGAGGGTGAGCTTGTGGGGTGGGGAGAGTTGCCAAGGGGACTGTAGGAGGCTCAGGCCTACCCTGCGACTCGGCCTGACAAAGCTCAGTTCCCTGCCTTCCTTCAGCCTGGCTCCTCCTCCTCACTCATTTTCCTGCATTCCCACCTGCCCTGTGGCTTCCTAGTACCCAGGGACCTACCTGACCTTTGAAGTGGTGTCCTTGGTGCCCTACGACCGGAACCTCATCGACATCAGCCTGCTCTCCCCCAAGCAGGTGAGTGCCCCTTAGCACTGTCCACCCTTCAGCCTTCAGGTCAGTGAACCGCTGACCACCTCCTCTCCTACCCTGCGCTTCTCTTGCCTCTGCACTCCCTAACCCAAGACCCTCCACCCCTTCCCCTCTCCATGGAGGGTCCACACTGTTGGCACCTGTAGGCACACACTGGGGCAAGCCTCTCACACTTGCCAGAGACCCCAGAGCTTCTAGAACTCCCTAGTCAGACCAGCCTGTCCAGTTCACCAGTAGTGAATTCCTGGGGAGTCTGAGATTGGGTCTCTGGACTCTGCCACCTCAAGTCCTAGAATTACCAGCAATCCCTTCCCCTTTCTGGGCCTCAGTCCCGTCTTCTGTGAAATGGGGATAATAATACCTGCCATTCTTCCTCTCATTCCTGGGCCTGAAATCCACTCCCTCCCCACGCCTGCACCCTGAAAGTCACTCAGACATTAGTCACCTAGGCGAATTGCCTCTGAAAAGTCCCAGTAGCCTGATGATGGCTGGAGACTTATGGGTATCTGTGGGGTACCTCTGGGTACCTGGGCCACGGTGAGCCGCTGGCATGCCATAGCAGGGGACTGGATGGAACCAAGACCTCACCTTTTGGCAGCTCAGCCTGGAGAGGTCCTCACCTCTCTGACCTTTGTAGCTCCAGTACCTGAACCACTATTACCAGACCATCCGTGAGAAGGTGGGCCCTGAGCTGCAAAAGCGCCAGCTGCTGGAGGAGTTCACATGGCTGCAACAGCACACGGAGCCCCTGTCTGCAAAGGCCTCTCCAGCTGCCTCCTGGGCATCTCTCTTGGCAGTCTCCACTCTTGCCATCCTTGGCGGGAGCTTCTAGAAGCTTGGGATTCCCTTGCTAACCTCTTCTCCCTCAGCTTCCCTCACCCTGCACCACCTAAGCCCCAAGAACCCCTACCAGCCCCTCACCTGGAAACCATTGCCTTAAGCCTCCTTCTACAGAACTGAACCCCAGGGGCACAGGGCTTCTTGGCCATAGGCAGAGTTTGGGGCCCCCTCTGAGCTTCCACACCCCACCCTCAGCTCCCAACCCCTATCCCCAGGATAGGAGAGCCAGCTAGTCCTTTTCCTTTTTTGAGCCCAGTAGGCCTAACCTATAACCTGGCAGAGCCTGTAGCGTAGCCACTGCCTCAACCTCTCTACTAACCACCCCCCCGCCAGAGCCCCTGGGGCAGCCTCACCCTCTCACCACCCCCTGGTTATAGCCAGAGCTGTTCTCATTCACACTGGCTCTTGACTTGGTCTTCCCACCCCACTGAGGCTGCCTCTGGCCACCCCCACCTGCTTCTGGCCTGACAGTGGCCTCCTGGCTGTAGCCCACAGGTGAAAGGACATCAGCTGACTCCAGGCTCCCTGCTGTGCCTGTAGAGGGAGAAGAGGGGAGGGTCGCTAAGTCCTCTGGTTGCATACTGCCACCCAGGGTCAGGCAGTCAAGCCTGCCCCACAGGAGAGCCCATAAACCCTGGGTGGGCCCCATGTCAATTGACAGGGGAGGGAGTTAAGCCATTGGAATTTGGCTACGGGTCAGGAGGGAATGCCTGGAGACTCTGGAATATGGCCCTTCCAGAAGTTGGGACTGGCCTGAGCAGCAGTACCCAATCACTATCCCAGACTTCCTGACACGTGGTAGCCCTTTTAACTTTCAGAGTGCAGCCACGCAGCCATAGTGACAACGCTATTAAATCCTCCAGCATCCTTTGGGTGACCTTTAACCTGTGTGGGCAGAGTCTTGGTTCCCCATTTTACAGATAGGAAAACTAAGCTCATCGTGGGGTGGGACCTGCTCAAGGACACACAGTGTTTGGTTGGGACATGGTAGGGTCGAAATGGGCTAGCAGACCGAGTTCTTTTGCCCTTCCTGCCCCTTCCGAGTTTGCTGCGCTTGCTGTTGGGGACAGGGGCGGGGGCGGGGTGAGGGGGAGATTTCTCTGGCCAGCCCAGCCGTTAGCCACCTGGGCTCACATCCTGCTAGATGCTTAAAACAGCCTGGCAACAAAGCCTGCCTCTGAGTTTTGCATTGTGTCTGCTGTGTTGACCGGTCTGCTGTTATCTGCGGCTTTTGTGGTGCCCAAGGAGGAGGTGGCAGGGGGCAGGGATGTGAGGTTCCCAGAAGCTCGGCTGGGGAGCACAGGCACTTGAGAGTGTGCATGTGAGCATGCGCAGGTTTGTATATTCACATGCGTGCCACGCTGCGCCAACCACCTCCTGTGCTAAGTCTATAACCTTGTGGGGCGGGGGGAGGAACTGAAGATAAATAAATGCCCCCTTGGGCTCTGGTCCTTGGTCTTGTGCTGTAGGACTTGTCAAATGTGGTCCAGGAGAGTGGGGGCCAGAACATTTGCTCAGTGGAGTGCAGTCAAGATGGGGAGAGAACCAAGTTTCTGGGACCGAGTGCTGAGCAAAGACACCAGGCTGAAGAGTCCCCCCAGCCTGGGACCACCCGGCCTAGTTTGCTGAGTGTGAGGGTGACCTGTGACAATCATCACTGCCGAGGCTTGGGTCCAAAGGCCCCAGCTCTGAGCTATCCTCGCTGAGAGCCTACAGCACCTGACAGCTGGCTGAGTCACTCGCTCCCTCCCCTGCTCACCCACAGTGGTAGTTGCTACTAATAAAATTCAAGTCGTCATCATGTCATCACTACCATTTACTGAAGGTTTAGTGTACCAGGCACTGTGCTTTATAAGCATTTGTAAATTTTATTTTATTGTGGTAAGAACAGTAAATATGAGATCTACCCTCTTAATAAATGTTTAAGTGTATAACACATTATTCCATTTTCCCACTTAATCCCCACAATGTCTGAGAAGGTATGTTTATTGTTCCAATTTTACAAGTAAAGGAAATGAATGAGGCTGATAGAGATTAACCAACCCACTCAAGGTCACTTGTCAAGGAAATGAAAAAAGCTGGACTCAAACCAATCAGATGATTCCAGAACAGATCTCAGAAAATGGTGGTATGGCTTTCACCATTTTACAGATAAGAGAACTGAGGCTCAACCAAAACCCCAACTGGTGAGCTGGGACTCAGACCCAACTAGTATTCTCCATGCCATGCTCCTTCCCCACAGCCTGCCTGCCCAGGCCCTTACCTTTGAGACCTGACACTTGCTTCTGGGATTCTGGCAGGCTATGGGCAGCAGGAGGGCCCCGATGCCTGACCAAGACCCACTCACAGGCCTGTCAGGCTAGGGCAGTTCATACGCTCCCCTTTCCTCCCCTCCGTGCAAGTCCCAGGGCTCTGCCTTGTCTCTTCCCCTTAACTGCCCTTTCCAATCCACCGTCTTGGGATAGAGAACCTTGGCCCCAGAAGCATGGCTGCAGAGGGGCCCCAGCCACCCCAGCGCCTCCCTTCCTGTGCCCCAGATGGCCGACACCCTGACCATCCTTCTGGAAGGGCATCACTCTGTATCAGGCGGGGAAACATTCAGGGCACGCACATCAGGGCTAACCCATGCAGGGGCCCTTGAGATGTCATTAGGAACTGAAGATAAATAAATGCCCCCTTGGGCTCTGGTCCTTGGTTCTTATGCTGGAGGACGGAGCTTACCAAACCTGTCCTTGCCTACTGACTGCCACTGTGGAGCAGGCCATATGGAAAAGCCCCTTTTCCTAGGAGATTGGGTTCTAGGGTTCTAGTCCCAGCTGGGTGGTCTCACCTCTCTAGTCTTCAGTTATCTTTTCTGAAAACTACTGCCTTCCTCATGAGGTTATGGTGAGAGGCCCATAAGATCCGGATATGAGAGTACTTTGTAGCCAGGAAACCACACAGACATAAGATAATAACACTATTATTCGCCCAGCACAAGTTTAACTCTTGCCTCACTTTTGGAAGTAGGTAAGGAAAAGGTTTGGGACCCAAATTTTATGTGTAAGCATCAAAACTAGACAGGTTTTTGAGCAAGTGTCTCATTTGGGTTTTTCCAGCTATGCTCCCTGGAGTCTGAGGCTCCTCAGAAATGCCACAAGGGCAGCCACAGAAAGCAGAGCTCTAACCAAAAGCAGCCCTTAAGGGTTTCCCATAAAATTGCATGAGAAGCAGTTGCAGGGCCAGCTTCTGGGTGACCAACCTACACCGCTGTGCAGGTCCTTGTGCCAATGAGAGCCCTGTGCTTGGTTTAATGCTCCTCTGCCACCATCTTGAAATTTTCAACAATTTTTGGACAAGGGGACCTACATTTTCATTTTTGTACCAGGCCCTGCAAATCCCACAGGCAGTCCCAACTAGGAGCTCCATGACCAAACAAACAGAAGTGAGTTCAAGCCCTCCACTTTACAGATGGCAAAGCAGTAATGGCAGCCCAGAAAAAGGAAGGGACTTGTCCAAGGTCACATAGCCCATGGGGGCCAGAGCTAGAATTGAATCACCAACCTCCTCACTCAGCTTTGTGCAGGCTCCTCTCTCACTTTCCGTGTGTGCTTCTGTCACTCTGTTACTGCCCTTAATGAGCAAACTGAAGCCCAAGGAGACCTGTTTGAGGTCACGCAGCTGAAACAACAGTGCTAACAATAGAATGGAACCACATTTTTTGACACTATAAATCCTTTGTGGAATAGGAACGCATATGGGTAAGATGATAGATAGATACACACACATACACAGAGTCTAAATGGTTGATTTTTTAAATTAAAACTAAGTCGACCCACTCAGTTGCCAGCCAGCTGGCTCCTGCTCTTCAGGTGCTGGACCACGGAAGGGGCGGGGCTGGCTACTCTTCACCCAGCTAAGCCATCAGCAGTGAATTTTACCAACTCACTGGGCACTTCCTCAAATCAGCAGTTGGGCACTTTTGGTGCCCCCAAAAAAGACATGTGAGAGATTCAATAGCAACTGTTCATCCCTGCCCTCCAAAGCTCTCTCAGTTGGAGTGGAAAGCACTCCTCAAGTCCACCCAGCCAGCCCTTGCTCTGAAGCTGGCTCATCCCCTCACTTCCTTGTTTGTGTATGAAACAGGAACTGAGCTAGCAGCTTGAGCAGGGTGGGATGGGTGGTTGAGAAAGCCCCAGTGGTCCACAGCATGAGGCCATGAAGCTGAAAAGCTAACTTTCCACCTAGCATTCCCGAGTAGTTCTAGGCCCTCTTGCATGTCACATCTCCTGTGGGTGACTCTACATCAGGAGTGAGTGACTTACACACACACACACCCCACCCCTCCAAAAGCAAGGCCCATATTATCATTATCTTCACCAGAACTCATTGCCCAAGGACACCTGCCCAAGGTCACACAGCCAGCAACGGATGTACAGCGATTTGAATCCAGTTCTACCTGACTCCATTTCTGGGAGGTGTTCTCCTGCCCCTCCTCTTCCTAGAGCCCTAAACAAGTGTCCCCTAGACTGCTCAGCAACCTTTGTCCTTGTACCCTTGGAACAGAGTCCTAAGCAGAGCAGCCCAGTCCCTCCCTGTCTCCCACAGAAAGGTGCTGCCATGAGCCGTGAATGAGTGTATTTTTATGTGAACACCAAAACCCAGCCTCTTCTGGTGGTACAGCTGCCTGCAGGTGTTTTTTGTTTTTAAACCAAGACTTTATCATGGGTTCAGAGATTCAGAAATGAGTGTCTTTCCCTCTCATCAGCCCCTGCTGCCAGGGGCTCCCCAGTGTTCCCAGAGCTGTGAGCTTTGTGGGTACTGTCGGCCCTCATGAGGGATGGGTGCTTCCTTCCCAGGGCCTGCCTCTCCTCTGCCCTCCTTTTCCCCTCTGCACGTTGACCTTTGTCATCCTCACTGCTAAGATTCATGCTTAAGCATGTGTGGGGAAAATTGAAGTTCCTGTGCCCAGGATCCTCACCTGAACCTAAACTACTTGATGATGTAACTGGCCTGCTGCTAGGCTACTGCTTCCACACCTGCAGGCAATAATCTAGCATTGACTAAGTCACTATATAAAGAGCTCTGCCCAGGGCTCTGGGTGGAGGCAGAGATAAGGAGGATTTACAGACCTGTAGACTGCTACTTACAGATGTAATTCTAGTGCTTGAACTATCTCTGGGAGAACAAGCTGGGTAATAAACCCTTTTACCCCAAGAATGTTCCATTGTCATTCCTCTGAATCGTAGTGAACTTGCCCAGGGCTGAAACCCATTAGCAAGACAGCATGAAATCTGCTAATGGGTTGGGCTACCAAGGTGGATTTCACCTTGGAAATGCCCAGGTATTTCCAAGGGACGGTGGGGTCTCTGCTTGAACCTTTTTAGAGATAGGAAGCTCACTACTTACCAGGGTTGAGCTAGTACCATCTGAATAACGAAAATGTCTTCCTTGGAATAAACCCAAACCTTCCATTTGTCTATGTCCCCTCATTCCAGTCCACCTAGAATGCATACCCCCTCCTCTTCCGACAACTGTCTGAAGTCAGCTTGCTTCCTTGGCCCAACTCTCTAAGCCAAATACTGCAGGTGTTGAGTCCTCCCCAGGTGGACAAGGGCTCCCCACAGATCACCCCCAGACGCCCTGGGCTCCCCACAGATCACCCCCAGACGCCCTTCCCATCCTCTTCACTCCCCTCTGGGCTTGCCTCAAGGTGGCCCTGTGGCACCTGAACCAGCTAGAGTGCCAATTCTCTAACTCCTCCTCAGGAACTCCACAGAAGAGCCACCTGGGCCTACTGTTTATAGCATGGGCCCTGGAGCGAGACAAACCTGTGTTTAAAATTCAACTTGCGCCACTTCTCAACTATGTCAACCTTCGCAGTTTGATAAATCCCTCTGAGCCTCAGCTTCCTCCCTGGAAAACGGGGAGAGTAATGGTACATGCCTCATAGAGTTGTTGTAACACCCACGACCTGCCACATAGGGTTATCATTTTCAACCGGAAGTGTGTGTGGTGAGGAGAGGTAAGAATAAGAGTCATATGGGAAGTTTTCTAAATTTAGGTGCCCCTCGCTATCCAACTCTTACTCTCTTCCATCACAACTGTACCCATTCAGAGTGCGGGATGCTTTCACATACTGGGTCCCACCCCAAATATCACACCCATGAACTACCAAGTTAGACCCTCTTGGGGGGTGCTTGTAGAAGGCTGCTCTATGTGAATGCAGCCTACAATGTGCTCTGGGTCTTTGACACCCCTGTGTCCACCCTCTAAGGGCCCAGAGGGAACTATCAGTGGAACCCAAGTCCCCCCACACACCCTGCAATACTGCTGCTAAATCAAGGCTGTCCCACCCCACATTTATACTGGGCACATATTTGTCACAATAACCCAGTTCACACTACTGATCTCGGGGGGGCTGCGGTGGGATTAATGTAGAGCTTGTCAAAGAACAAGTGTTGGGCAAATGTCAACTCAGCTCATGGCCTCACCTAGGATGTAAGCTCCCAGGTACAAGAGACCCTGACAACTATTTACCTCACATCTTCTCAAAGTAGGGAGCACAAGGCTCTGCCCAGGGTTAGCCTAGGTCCTGTCTGCCAGCCCTTTATGAAGTTTGAGGTGGCCTTGTTCACTGAACTACTGACCTGGATCACTTCCTTAGCTGAGGGCTCTGTGTACCTGGAATGTTGTAACCTATAAAATGCAAATGTGTTACCCAGAAGGGAAACCTATTAAAAACGTGTTTAGGGTCCATTAGCCAGTTGGGGCCTCACCTAGTGGGACTCAGGCCAGGGCTGTGCGCTGGGAGAGAAAAGTTGAGGGAAGACAAGTCCAGATGGGGGAGCCCGGGATCCCCAGATCAGAGGCTGCCGACCACTGGTGGCAGATCATAAAGGAGACGCAATCGCAGGGCTTAAAACATTCGCTCCC